ACTTATTTTATTATTTCTTTAATGAGTTCCATTATTTCTCTTCTGTTTCTAAGCACTTGACCTGATGAAAAAAAAAAGAAAAGAGAAAATGAGACTGACTGTTGATTTTCTGTGTATATGCAAAATCGCCTTGTTTTCCACCATAGTCAACAACTAACTCATGTTTATCAAGCTGACTTTTAGTGATGTACACAGACCTTTTAACGTGCTTTTCTATTTGGTCTTGTATGTGCATCTGTTAAACTTTCAGGAATTTTTTGAAGTCCTGAATTACCCTGAGTTGAGAACTCTTTAAATTTAGGATGCATTATTTATTAATTTTCACAATCCCCAAATTTGCTTTGTAAAATCATTATTGAAAAATTTTCTTGGAATCTTTTATCAAATTTCTGACTTCTGAGTGATTGTTTTTTTTTTTTGTTTTTTTTTAAAATTTATTTTGTTTTTTATCCTCACCTGAGGATATTTTTCCATTTTTTGTACAGATAGAGTGGGAGGGAGAGAGAGGTAGGGAGAGAGAGTGAGAAACATCGACGTGAAGGGACACATCGAGTGGCTACCTCCCGCACGACCAACCAAGGCCGGGGACAAACTGCAACCGAAGTACGTGCCCTTAGCGGGAACCGAACCCGGTCTCTCCGGACCGCAGGCCGACGCTCTAACCGCTGAGCCAAACTGGCCAGGGCTGTTTTTTTTTGTTTGTTTGTTTGTTTGTTTTTAAGGGTCTTCTGGTAAAAACCAGAAGACCTACTAGACAAGTTCAAAAAGAGCTCTAAGCACTGAGTGATAGTTTTTAACAGGAGCTGGAGAAGAAAAGCAGAAAATAGTGACTATATCTACTAATTATAAAGGCTTACATAAGTTGATTTCAGGGCTGTGAAATAGCACTGAGAGAATTTTAAATGAAAATTAAATGATGGGATGATTGATATGACAGTCATTAAGTTGACCTGACATTTTTCACTGGTGTTGAAATCTGAGCTCACCATTATTAAAAATAGTAGATCTTAGTTATAGTAAGACCACCATCCCAGCTTGACTAATTTTTCCCCCTTAAGTCTGAGCTCCCATATTTTTCATCTGGGTGACTTGGGCTCGAATCAAATGCCTGTCCTGCCAGAATTGTCCATACAATGAAAACAGCACTAGCATGGCTTCCCCACATGTGCTGTTGTGGTTGGTGTGTTCAAGGTGCAGTAACTCATTAGTAAAAAAAGAATGTCATATATTCTGTAAGTTTCTCAATTACAATGAACTTTGAGCCTGCCTGAAGGTTTGAAGAGCTTCCAATTCCTCTTAAAGGTTGTTCAAGATGCTGTTTGTGTGTGCTCTAAAATGAGTCACTCATCTGATATCTGTCTCCTGTTAAACCGACACAGTGCTGCCTCTGCGGCGGAGATGGGTCGGCTACCCACATAGCTGACATCTGCTTGCATCTACCATTAATATAGCACAGCTGGTCTTGGTGGTGATGGAGGAGAAACTACAGTTTTTGTCACTCAAAAAAATACTGTTACTTCTTAATTCCATAGAACATTGACAGATAAGGCCATGACTTTTGACAGCATTTTAGTGAAGATTTGGGGATAACTGAAGAGAAATATAACTGAGGGAATAGGTTAAAATTGCTACTATAATCTCAGCCTTCGGTATTCAGGGCTATCTTTGCATCACCCCTCCCTATCTGGCTCTGGGACTGCATCTGTGGGGGCAGTGGCCAGTGTATGCCCATCACTGAGAGATCTCTGAGCATGTGTAATGATGCTATGGGCCAGCACCCAGACCACTCTCTAGGAATGAAGCATCCATTCCCTTAGATGATGAGAATTGATACACAATAGCTCCCAGTGAGTTATTTTCCAAACCTTGCCTAAGAGCAGTGATTCTCAAACTTTACTATACATGAGAATTAGTACCAGGAGGCTTGTTAAACCATAGATTTCTGGGTCCTATCCCAAGCCCCAGATCCAAAGGTCTGGGGTGGGACTCAAGAATTTACATAAATTTCTAACAAGTTTGCAGGACCATAAACTAGCCTAGACTGAAGAAAGCTACCTTGCCCAAGGTTCTATCCTTCCCTAGGGCATCCCAGGTCCAATAACTAGGTTAGAAAGGGGTATAAGGCCTGGTGCCCTCTTTACAATTTGGAATTACTTTGAAGAACATTCTTGTTCCAGGGCACATTCAGGAGAGGCTGAGGTCTTTCTTGTGATGTTTGCAAGTCTATATCCATCTGCTCAGTTCTGCTCCACTTATACCCTCACAGGTGTTGATCTGAGAGCCTTTCTCAATAAATTGCCTGGTGCCAATCTCCTTTTCAGACTCGGTTTGAGGACTGGAGTAGAGGACTGATTTGCTACAATATATCTACACCTGGGGAGCTAGATCATGGAGAGGGTCACATTTTCTTGTTCACCTTCAGTTTAGTGCCCTCGTCCCAAACCATAACTCCTATGCCAGCATTGGCTTTTCAGGGTGACTGACAGTGGGATCATCTTTTCTCTGGCCTTCAAAAGGCAATTTCTTAAAAACATAAAACTCCAACATGATTTCATTCTAGGATGTTAAATCTTAAACAGCACAAAGAAGAGGGCATTGGAAGGCCAGCCCAGGACAAGTCTACAGGCTTCTGTCCACTGGAGGGGAGGTAGTGAAGGTGGTTCCTATAGGCTGTTTCTGAATTCAGCTAATTTGCATATCTCCTAGGAACAATTAATTGAAACTACAAAAATAAGCAACACTTTAATTTTATATAAAACTCATACAATTTCTTTCTTCACTCCCAAATTAAGAAATTCTTTTTTTTTTAATCCTCACCCAAAAATATTTTTCCATTGATTTTTAGATAGAGTGGAAGGGGGCGGGGGGGAGAGAGAGAAACATTGATGAGAAAGAGAGACACAAGAGAGACACATAGATTGGTTGCCTCCTGCATAACCCCAGCTGAGGCTGGGGATTGAACCTGCAACCCAGGTACGTGCCCTTGACCAGAATTGAACCTATGACCCTTCAGTCTGCAGGCCAACACTCTAACCATAAGTCTGGGAAACTCTTTATATGTCCATTGATTCTAAATGATAGCTTTGCAGAATAGAGTAATTTTGGTTGTAGGTCCTTGTTTTTCATCACTTTTGGTATTTCTTGCCACTCCTTTCTGACCTGCAGTTTCTTTTGAGAAATCATCTGACGCCTTATGGGAACTCCACTGAAGGTAACTAGCTGCTTTTCTCTTGCTGCTTTTAATCTCTCTCTTTGTCTTTAACCTTTTGCATGTTGATGATGATGTGTCTTGGTGTGTACCTCTTTGGGTTCATTTTGTTTGGGACTCTCTGTGCTTCTTAGACTTGTATATCTGTTTTCTTTACCAAGTTAGGGAAGTTTTCTGTGATTACTTTTTTCAAATAGATTTTTAATTTCTTGCCCTCTCTCTTCTCTTTCTGGTACTCCCATGATGTGAATGTTGGTTTGCTTGAAGTTGTCCCACAGGCTCCTTATACTATGCTCATTTACTTATTTATTTATTTATTTATTTATTTATTTATTTATTTATTTATTTATTTATTTATTTATTTTGCTTTTCTGATTGGGCATTTTTTGCTTTCTTATATTCCAAATTGATGGTTTGCTTCTTGGCTTCATCTACTCTACTATTGATTCCCTGTAAATTATTCTTTATTTTAGTTAGTGTATCCTTCATTTCTGACTGATTCTTTATTATGCTTTTGAGTTCCTCACTAAGTTCCTTGAAATTCTCACTAAGTTCATTGAGCATCCTTATAAGCAGTGTTTTGAACTCTGCATCTGTTAGATTGCTTATCTCCATTTCTTTTAGTTCTTTTCCTGGAGTTTTGTAGAATAGAGTAATCTTGGTTGTAGGTCCTTACTTTTCATCACTTTGAATATTTCTTACCACTCCCTTCTGGCCTGCAAAGTTTCTTTTGCATATTGATGATGATGTGTCTTGGTGTGGGCCTCTTTGGGTTCATTTTGCTTGGGATTCTCAGAACAAAATGTTTTATCTGCCCCAGATAGGAACTGTCCTGTAAGTCTGAAAGCACACATGTGTACATTTTACATTATGATTTTTTGGGGGGGCGGATTTAACTTACCAAACTTTTAAAAAAGCTCTTGGGTTCAATCTCAAAAAGAACACCAGTTACACTGTGTTTACTGTGGAGATGTCAATTAAGCACCTCATTACAGAGGGTTCTTCTGTAAGGACCTCAGTGGAAAGTTTCCTCTTACATCTTATTGTTATGCATAGCTGTAAGTTCTTGGCGCACCTGCTATTTTCGTCTCATAAATGTTCCAGATTGAACAGTTTTAGGAGGCAGCATCAGAAACACAGTTTCAGGGATGAAATTGGTTTTGGAAAAAAAAAATAGGACCAGCTACACCTTGGCAGTCCCTATGGGTGAATGGGAGAAGGGTCAGCAGTCGGATATTCCAATCCTAGTTCTCTCAGGTGGAAATGAAGGGCCTGTGAGGTGGAGAGGATGGTGTCCCTTGAGAGAGAATGCGCCCAGGGAAAAGTTGGGCATTCCATTCTTGAGGACACTTTTGAACAGGTCAGTGTTGATCAAGGTGACTCACACATAGAACCCAATATCTGGCCCTGGAGGAAATTGTTCAGGAGAACATGGCTTCCAAACCTCATTTCCTGTTCTAAGGAGAATGGGATTTATTTATTTATTTTTTATCCTCATCCGAGGACATTTTTTGATATTTTGTTCAGATAGAGTGGAAGGGAGAGAGAGAGAGAGAGAGAGAGAGAGAAACATCGACGTGAAAGGGACACATCGAGTGGTCGCCACCCACACGACCCAATCAGGGCTGGGGACAAACTGCAACCGAGGTACATGCCCTTAGCGGGAACCGAACCTGGGTCTCTCCAGACCGCAGGCCAACACTTTAACCGCTGAGCCAAACTGGCCAGGGTGAGAATGGGATTCTTTACCCCTTAATACCTGTTTTGCTCTATCGCTGATACTCCAGATGACCTCATGTATAACCTCACATCCTGGCACACTGACCTTGCTGAGCACCTAGAGAGTTGGATGGTGATGGGGAACACATCTCTCTTCTTGGTCCTGTGACCTTCTCAGGTAACTCTCACTCATCCTAAACTGGGAGGGTGGGAGGGTGAATAACTTTGAGAGCATGTTCCACCACAGTCCCCATTTTTTTAAGAGAAAACTCCCTGAGAGGAAGGTGGGCTCCAGTAGATACCTCTATTCTAACAGGATCTTGAGTATACCTGCTGGTAGTTGGTTCAAACTAAACCTGAGCCCTTCATCTCCAGGGTGAGGGTTCATGACTGTGGAACAGGGAAACCCCTGAAATTCTCAGATGAAGGTGAATCTGCATGCTTGGATGGTTGTCTATCTATACTATTTGAGGGTAACTGGGAAAACCCACGTGTCAACTTTTCTTACCCCAAAAACTGGTTCTCTCTCTGTCTCACTCTTTTACACACACACACACACACACTCTTTTCACTGTAAAGGCACAGAGCTAGTACATTGTAACTATTAGGGATGATGATTCTAATTCAGAAAGCCTGTGTTCAGTTTTCACTTTATCACATATCTATGTGATCTCAGGCAATTTACTTGATCTCTCTGTGCCCCACTGCCTTCATCTGAATTTGGGATGTGTGTTTGACAGAGATAAAGCTTTGTGCTCACCAAAACCCATTTTCTCATCCTTCTTCCAGGGTGCTAGAAGCCTTCACTTCCAGCCCACTTAGGCAAGGCTATGTGACTAGTTCTGGACCAGGAGGTGGAGTACAAGTGACACAGGGAACAGCTGCTTTCCAGTTCTCTCTGCTCCTCCATTCTCTGCTGCAACCACAAAGGAGATACTGAGGTCGGAAGAGCACACTGAATTGCTGAGTCACCACCTGGAGGACAGTAGCTCTGATGAATTGCCTGGACACGTAGCAGTTTTTGTGTGAAAAAAGATGTAAGTTATTATTATACTAAGCCACTGAAATCTGAGGGTTACTTGTTACTGCAGAAGAGACTAATCTATACTGAGTAATATACTGCTTCAGAGTAATTGCGAAGAGTAGATGGGAGTTCTACGAGTAAACACTGAGACTAGTAACTGCATATAGTGAGCATCCAGAAAATGCTAGTTACTGGTCTTTTTAAAATTTTTATTCTCACCCAAGGACATTTAGTTGAGATAGAGTGAGAGGGGGAGAGGTGGAAAGAGAGAGAGAGAGAGAGAGAGAGAGAGAGAAACATCGACGTGAAAGGGACACATTGAGTGGTTGCCACCCATATGACCCAACCAGGGCCGGGGACAAACCGCAACCAAGGTATGCGCCCCTAGCGGGAACCAAACCCGGGTCTCTCTGGACCACAGGCCCACGCTCTAACCACTGAGCAAATCTGGCCAGGGCATTACTGGTCTTTTTATAAAGAATAACATTGTCCGATCTTCTCTGGAAACTGTCTGAGGCTGCCCCAGACTGACCTACTCACTCAATCTCCTCCCTCTGCTTTCTTGGCACTGTGCCTCTATTTCTTTTTTGAATTCGCTTTATTGTCATTATGCATTTATTTAGGTGTTGGGCTCCCCTACTGGGTTGTGAGTTGCTGGAGGATAGAAATCATGTATTACTATTTAGTTAACTCTCTCCAAATATGGCAGGAAGCCTGGCATAGTGTAAGCTCAAGAAAACACTGGCTGAATAGATAAACAAAAACCTTTCTCCCATGAAAGAGGCAGAAACATCTTCATGGGAATGAGTCTACCTATCCTTCCTTCTCTCTTATTCCCCTCTTGTTCTCTTCTTTACATACACACGAATGCCTTTTATGTGCCAGGCATGGATTAAATATGAAACAGAAGTAGCCAAAGACACCCATGTCTGTCTTTTAGAAGCTCACAGTGTTGTGGGGAAGACAGACAAGCCAATGGACAATTAAATACTGTGTGGTGTGCAGCAGGCAGGATGTTGTGAGAGCAGGTGAAGGAGGGCACAGGATATCCCAGCAGAAGGAGCAGAGATCACCAAGCAGGGTTTGTTGAAGAGGTGAGAACAGGAAGAGGACTGAGAGGTGAGGCAAAGGCAGCCCTGTAAAAGAGGTGGGGTTTGCTATTTCAGACAAAGGGAACAGCGTGTGCAATGGCACAAGGCAAAAACAAAGAGTGCTTGTGAGACTGCAAGTGTTTGGAAATAGTTGTAACCCTTATATAAATATGAGAAAGGCAAGGAATAAAGCTGGAGAGTTGCTCATCAGTGGCTTCCATTGTCAGGAAAAGATATTTGGCTTTCATCTCACAGATGAAGATTCTCAGCAGGCGAGGCACCTTCTTGACCTGCTTGTAAGAAAGTTCCTTTGTCAACAGAGTGGAGGAGACTAGTTATGAGACATCCCAAGCGTTCATGGGAGAACCAGGGCAGAAGTGTGCGCATGAGAAGAAAGGGGTTGATTTGAAAGTTATTGAGGAAGTGGAATTCACAGATGATGGAGGCAGAAGGAGAAGTAAAATCTTAGATAAATTTCCCAATTCTCATTTCAACGGTTGGGTAATTTGGCACCACGATTGACGTAGGGAATACAGAGGCCCAGTTGCTAGAGGGTATGTGATCTCTCTCTGTGTGTGGGGTTAATATTAAGTTTCGTTTCGGGGTTATAACAAGAAGTCCAGAAGAATATGAAGATAAAGAAAACTGGATCGCTGGAGACCTGTGCTATGCAATGAAGGGCAGGGGGAAGAGCCCAGGCGAGCAGCACCTTGGGCCTAGAGTTGGTTGTGTTCTCAGGGGTATTGCTTCTGACGGCAGTTTTGTTCTTTTGATACACTGTGCCCTTCTGGGGATGCCTCCCCCGACCTCCTTGGGAAGCCCCATTCTATCAATACATTTTTTTAGAGGACTTGCTTGCTGAATGACTTTTAGAGTGCAGATCAGTTATTATTTTCTTCTTAATCCAAACAGGGAAGAAGAAATTGAAGTTATGTTTATTATTTTTTCCAGTCAGTGGTTTTTAATACACTTGTGAAAACTGCCTACTGTGGAAAAAATATTTTCTTTTCCAGACAGGGACAATTAACTGGAAGTATCTAGGTCTAGACTCGGAATATTCTCACCAATCTAAAATTTTTATTTTAGCTCTTAAGAGGAATATTATAAATATTAGAGCTAACATTTAGCTTCCATAATTGAAAGAACCCTAGCATAAATTTTTATGTGAATGAATAACCACCCCATTTATTTGTTTCTAAGCCTGGATTTTATTATGGAGTTTTAAAACCACTGTATGCCTTTTGCTCTGAGTGTAAAAGGATCTGTCAAATTCAGAGCACACGGCAACATATGGACTCTTTTTACTCCTGAGTGATTATTGTCTGAGACATATTTGATATACCTCTCCCCTCAGCTTCAAACAGTCATAACCTGCTGTGGCTCACTCCTGTTTCTTCAGTTAAGCACATCTAACTCTTACAAACCTTTTTCCTCCTGTGATTGATTTGGGCCTCAAATTACGTGCTCGGGCCAACATTTGATATGGCTTGTCTCTCTTTCCCTCTGCTGCATCCACTCATCAGCTCGTGTCTTGAGCAATAGTCTTCAAGCTTTTGTTCAAGTCCCTTAAAATGATTTTGAAAAGTTATATACCTGGTGGCCCACTTTTAGGTTGACATCTAAAATTTTTCACTATAAATACAAGTAATTACAAAATATAAAATCTCCAGTCTGTTATAAATATTGACACTGAGAAAAAAAAAAAGCATTGTAGTTTTCTAAATATATCTAGTAGAATCTGAATATTATAGCTATTAACATCCATTAAAATTACATGAATAAGGTTTTTAGATTTGAAAATTTTATTTGAAATCATAATTTTTTTCCATTTCCTTCTCCAGATAGCATCCTAGTGTACTTTTTGGCTAGAAAGTTTCTAATTGGTAAGACTCTCTTTGCTCCTCTCCAACAAATAAATGTGAATGCTAAAACACAACTTAAAAAATACTTTTATTTGCCCTGGCCAGTTTGGCTCAGCAGTTAGAGCGTCGGCCCACGGACCAATGAGTCACGGGTTTGATTCCGGTCAAGGGCATCTGACTTGGTTGCAGTTCGTCCCCAGCCCTGGTCGGGTTGTGCGGGAGGCAACCAGTGGATGTGGCTCTATCACGTCGATGTTTCTGTCTGGCTCTCTCTCCCTCCCTCCCACTCTATCTAATGATAAACAGAAAAGTATCCTCAGGTGAGGAATAAAAAATCAAAACTTTTATTTTTTAATAGCTATCAATACAGTTATTATTAATATGTAATCTATATAAATAACAAATATATTATGTATTCTCATACTTAATTATTAAACTAATAATGTAAAAATGTAATGGAACCATATCTCTTAATGAGATGGATGGGAAGAAAGAGAATGGGTTTGGGACCTTGATAACAAGGTGCTTCACCTACCCCTATATTGAAAATAATCCTGTTTTACACTTTGCATTTTTACCCTTGAGGGCAATGAACATCTAGTAAGATTCTATGAAAGGAGTGATTGTGAAAGGAGAGAGGAAAAGGGAGAATCAGAAAAGTGCAGATGTTGCCCTGGGCAGTTTTATGAAAGGGTAGAGAGGGAAGCTGAGAATCTGAAAATGAATTTCTTCTAACTGTCCTCATGTACCCCTAAGTCTGCACAAATCCGGTTCTGAGATTTTTGCCCCCAAATTGATCATACCATGGCCAATAGGTGGCATCTCTTTTGCCTTCATTGTTCCAAGAAAACCTCTTTTGAAAGATAAGTTTCAGTTTGAATGTATTGAACATTCAGGTTTGGTGGACATGGGACCTTTTTTTTCCTAAAATTCATTTACAGATGCATTTTCTATTCAGTTATTATATATGCACAATGACTCTCTATGATTATTTGTTGAATAAACATGTGTTTTGCATCTGTTATCCCTAATGAGTTCTGGATTCAGCACTGGGCCTGGTTTGGTCCATGACCGAGAACAAAAGCAATCTCTACAGATTCCGCCTCTCACTCTGGTCACGGGGCAGCAAGTGTTTGCTAGATGAATTGACTTGGACAGTTTATACAAACTTAACCTGGTATATTTCAAACGTGTTAATTTATGCTCATCTACCACTATTTTATTTCAGAGAAAAAGGAAAAATAATAAATGTGAGATTATTAGTAAAATATTGACAAGCTGTTTTCTAATGCTGTTAGCTCATAGTCAAATAAAGAATTATTTTGGATAAAAGTCATTATGAATCATTAAAATATTAAGCAGGTGCTTTATAGATTGGATATATTAACAGCTTTTAAAAGCTAGCCTGCTGGTTCTTTTCCAATCTATTACGTTTTCTAAAGCTGCCCTTCTCTCTCTCTGTAATAAGAACAGTATTTTTTTCCCTGAGAATCTCATTGGCCTTTAGAATTATTTCTCTGTGAAATAATGAACCATTAGTATTTGCTATCAGAGAGGTAAAAAGTTGGAATGTATGATCCAAAATGCAATTTTCCTAGACTAAGAGTCATATCAAGGTTGTATAGGCTGAAAAGTGAACCTTACTAGCATTCTGGCCTTTTTTACCCTTCAGTATGAAAAGCATTTTTCCAGCAGCAACCTCTACTATTCAAGTTCACTCACAATCATGAGTTAACTGAACTTGGTTTCAAGGTCAATTGATCCATCATCCAGGTTTTAAAATGAAAGGCTCTTTTCTTTTCTTTCCTGGTAGAATCAAAGAGCTGGAAAGGATTCAGGGAGAGTGGGAGAGGAGGAGGGAGAGGGGGAGACACAGATGATAGTGGCATAAAACTTTGGTAAGGAATGCGGGTGTTTTCAGCTAATGCACACATTTTGGCTGCTGCTGTATTATATTTCCTCCCACTGGGAAAAATTATCTTGAGATGGACTTGTGTGGTTTGGCACAACTGATTTGTTACAAGTCTGAAATTAAATGTACCCAATGTGTTTAGTTCCATATTGGAATCCCCCAAAAATGTGAAAATAGGAATGCCAAGTAGCCTGTAGGATTAAGTAAATATTCAGAGACATAATTAGGTTTTGGCCTCTTCCATTCCTCTTTAGCCTATGTTGGACTGGGACTTTTAAAGTTTTTGTTACTTTTGTTTTTAATCTTTACAATGTGAGTAGCAGTTTCTCTAGGGACTTAGTGGGATTCTTGCCACTTTGCTTATAGCCACATTGCAAAGCAAAAGTGTACTTTTTTTTTTTTTTTTGTCTGTCTGCATAAACTTTCCACAGGATGGAGTGCAAATCTAGTGGAAAAATCTCTAGCTTAGGAGTTGGACGCCAGGACTCTTCATTATGTCTCCAACAAGCTAGTTAACCTTGGACAAGTCGCTTCACACCTGTGGTCCTCAACACCTTCATCTTCAAAACGAGGGGATCGGTCCTCAGATGATTGCTAAAATCCTGACCATTAACTTTAAAGACTCTTTGGGGAAGGAACTGGTAAATTTTTGGTTTGTTTTCAAAGGTGAAGTAACATTTCTGAAATTTTAATATTCAGATACACATGCCCTTGGCATTATAAATGCTGCTAACATGCTCTTGTGCATTGCTGGAAAAAGAGTAAGTTTGCCATTTTTAAGGGGCAACTGAAATCTCAACACCTAGCTTGCTAGGGCTGCCATGGCAAAGCACCACCAACTGGGTGGCTTAAACAACAAAAATTTATTTTCTCACAGCTCTGGAGGCTGGAAGTCTGAAAGTAAGTCTTAGGAGCATTGTTTCCTTCTGGGACCGTGAGAGATTCTGCTCAATGCCTCTCTCTTAGCTTCTGGTAGTTTGCTGGCAATCTTTGGTGTTTTGTGTGTGTGTGTGTGTGTGTGTGTGTGTGTGTGTGTTGCGCGCGCGCCTTCAAATTTGTCTTTTTTATAAGGACACCAATCATGTTAAACTAGAAGCCTGTCCTACTCATTGTAGCTAATGCATTGCAATAGCCCTACTTACAAATATGACCACATTCTGAGGTACTTAGGGGTAGGACTTTAACATATTAATGTGAGGGTTATAATTCAACTCATACTATAGTAGTCTCAATTCTGTGTAGACTGATGCATCGTGAGCCATCTCACTTCATTTTTTCCAGACATGAATCATCTCTTTGTCCAGCATCTCCACACTGTACACACTTCCCATCAGTCAGTCACTTGATAGCCTACTTGGTTAACAGACGATTGACTGCCATGGTATTGCAGTGCTTGTATTCAAGTATCCCTAATTTTACATAATAATGTCTCATTCACTTCACTTCATCTATCAGGTAGGCATTTTATCATCTCATAGCATCACAAGAAGGGTGAGTGCAGTAAAATATTTAGAGAGAGAAGTAAATCACATCCATATAACTTATTATAGTATATTGTTATAATTGTTCTATTTTATTATTAGTTAATGTTGTTAATCTCTTACTGTGCTGAAAACCTGAGGTTTCAGATATGGTAGAACATTAAGTTACTTGGATAACACTTTGTGAACAGTTTGGTGATGGACTTCCAAGGTTGTTCAGGTGTGTTGCTTTCATCCCTCAACCCCATCTTGATTCACATTTGTAAACACAAGTCAGAGTTTGCAGCCTTCCCCTCCCCCCTTCTTCAGCCAGCCATTCCTTCTGAAGGACAAAAGCAGCTCAAAGAATCAAGTTCTCAGCTCACTCACTTATACACCATTCAACCCATCACAAATCAACAACCTCTGCCTCAGTCTCAAATGTATTGTCTCCAATTTTAAAATTGAAGATACCTCTAAATGTGTTTAACTATCAAGAAATAAAAATGACATCCACATGCCTAGAATTCAAGGAGGATTTAGAACAAGTCACTGCTCTTAATAAGCTTAAAGTCTAGTTGGGGAGACCAGAGCTACACCTTTTGAAAAAATTAATAACTCAGTGCAGTGTGGTGGATTCAGCTAAAAATCTCGGCCGATTCCCTAACTCAAGAACAAAATCTTTACGTGTGCTCTTTGCTATGAAATTTCTGAACTTTTTTCAATTTCCTCCAGTTCCACAAGCAGCAGCAGCAGTTGGCTTTCATTTGGGCATTATATTTTTTCTATTCTATTTTATTAGTAGGGAAAATCCCATGCCACTGTCCTATGTGTGCACACCTAACCCAACCCTCCAGAGCTGGTATGTAGTATAGCTCTTTAATTCTTACATTATTATAAAAAATATACATTAATGGAAGATTTTAAGCACACTTTATGTCTTGAATTGGATGTCAGGACTCTGCAGACTTTATATATATTATTTTACTGTGGGGGGTACCTAGAAGAACTGTTGTTTAAATGTACTTTTCATTGAAGTATAATATACATACAGAAACATGCAGATATCATAAACTCAATGAGTAGTTACAAACTGAACATATCCTTGAAACCAGAACCCAGAGCAATCAGTAGAATGCTCTTTTATGCTCCCTTCCAGTCACTACTCCCCAAAAATAAACCATTATCCTGACTTTTTGTATACTTTATATAATGGAATCATAATATATATATTCTCTTTTACATCTGGCTTCATTTGCTCGATAGTACTGATGTGAGATTCATCCATGTGAGTGTGATGAATTCTACAGTTCTTTTGCATTGTTGTATAGTATTCATCCAGTTCACTGCTGTTGGGCACTTGGGTAGCTTTCAGTTTTTAGCTTTAATGAATAGTGCTGCTGTAAAAATTTGGATACATGTCTTTTGGTGAACTTATGCATACATTTCTGTTGGGCACAAACCTACAGTAGAGTTGCCCTTCAAAGGGCATGCATATGTTGCCTTTAGTACATATGCCAAAGAGTTTTCATAAGTGGTTGTAACAACTAACACTGTCATCAACAGTGTAGGAATATTCTAGTTACCTCATATTCTCCCCAATATTTACATCAAGTTTAGCTATTTAGGTGGTGTATAATAGCATCTTGTTGGAGTTTGAATTGGTATCTCCTTGATGACTAATAAAGTTGACCATCTTTTGTTTTAACTACCCATTGGTTATTCTCATTTTTGAGGTGTTTTTTAAGTTTTGTCCACTTTTTCTATGGGGTTGACTTTTAAAAAATTGTTTTGGAGATGTACTTCATATATTTTGGATCCTTTTTCAGACACGTGTTGTTAATATCTTCTATCTTTGCATTAATTTTGTCACTGTATTAATGATTTCTTTGGATGAAGAGGAGTTCTTAATTTTAATATAATTTAATTTACTATCTTTTTAATGGTAGTGTTTTTTGTTTTGTTTTTTATTTATTTATATTTTACAAAGATGTCTCTGTCAACCCCAAGGTCATAAAGACATTTTATATTTTTCTCATGTTTTCTTATCCATTCAGCTACCCTATGTTTTTTGATTGGAGAATTTAAGCCATTTACATTTAAGGTTATTATTGATAGGTACTTAATTGTTGTTGTTTTTATTCTTTATGCTTGTGTTCCTCCTCTTCCCCTCCCCCTCCCCCCTCCCCCCTCTCCTCCTCCTCCTCCTCCTCCTCCTCCTCCTCCTCCTCCTCCTCCTCCTCCTCCTCCTCCTTCTTCTTCTTCTTCTTCTTCTTCTTCTTCTTCTTCTTCTTCTTCTTCTTCTTCTTCTTCAACAGTTCCTTCAGCATTTCTTGCAGTGCTGGTTTGGTGGTAGTAAACTACATTTATTTGGTCTGTGAAGCTCTTTACTTCACCTTCAATTATGAATGAGAGCCTTTCTGAATGGAGTAGTCTTGGATTCAGTCCCTTGCTTTTCATTACTTTGTATACTTCATGCCAGTCTTTTCTGGTCTGAAGTATTTCTATTGAGAAATCAGCTAACAGTCTAATGGGAGTTCCTTTGTAGATAACTTTCTGTATCTCTCTTGCTGCTTTTAAAATTGCTTTTTATTTTTTTGTAATAATTTTTAATTGATTTTTTTAGAGAGAGAGCTAGAAACATCTATGTGAGAAACATAGATCAGCTGCCTTCTGCACACCCCCTACTGGGGATCGAGCCCACAACCTGGGCATGTTCTCTGACCAGGAATTGAACCAGGCCTCTCAGTCCATGGGACAACATTCAATCCATTGAGCCACACCAGCTGGGCTACATTTGCCTTTTTTTTTTTTTTTTATCCTCAGCCGAGGACATTTTTCCATTTTTTGTTCAGGTAGAGTGGGAGGGAGAGAGAGAAACAGAGAGAGAGAGAGAAACATCGATGTGAAAGGAACACATCTAGTGGCTGCCACCCGCACAACTGACCAGGGCTGGGAACAAACTGCAACCGAGGTACGTGCCCTTAGCGGGAACTGAACCCAGGTCTCTCAGGACCCCAGGCCGATGCTCTAACCGCTGAACCAAACCGGCCAGGTCTACATTTGCCATTTTAATTATGGCAAATGTCTAGGTGGGGTCTTTTGGGATTCATCTTGTTTGGGACTCTCTGTGTTTCCTGGACTTGTGTGACTTTTTTGTTTACCAGGTTAGAAAAGTTTTCTGCCATTTCTTCAAACAGGTTCTTTATTCCTTGCTCTGATTCTTTTTCTGGTACCCCTATGATGTGGATGTGGTTACAAAGCTTCCTTAAACTATCTTCCTGTTTTTATTTTATTTTATGTTTTCTATTTGCTGCTCTGATTTTCTTCTACCCTGTTGTCTAAATAGCTGGTTTGGTCCTCAGCTTCTTCTAATATACTGTTGAATTCTTCCAGGGTATTCTTTATTTCAGTTATGTCATTCTTAATTTCCAATTGGTTCTGTTTTTGTTTTGTTTTCAAATTAATAAGAGCTTTAATAGGAGAAACTTACACACACAGGCAAAGCAGCTGCTCTCAATGGTGGCTGGCCTGGAATAATCTACACCTTCCCAGGACAGGGTTTCCTTTTTATAGGGGGTTAATATTAAAACTATATGATGTGTAGACATGTATTATCACCAGAAAGAACAATGCATTTCTAAGTAATAAATACTATTAGGTAGTCATCACAGACTATACATTCATTAACCTCCTCCCTGAAGAAATGACATTTATCTTTGGGTGGCATTGCAATTTTCTGGATAGCCAAACCTGAGGCTACAGAGAGTTAAACAGTTACAGAGGGTTAAACAGAGAGTCCAACATTTCCTAGACACATTTGCTGCTGGAGATATATTGCATCTATAAGTAAGTTTCCCTACACATGGTCAGGTTATGTAAAGAAATTATAACTAATTGAGCAACCACCATTAAAAATAAATTATTCTGCCCCTGGCCAGTTTGGCTCAGCGGTTGAGCATCAGCCTGCGGACCAGAGAGTCCCAGGTTTGGTTCCCGCTAGGGGCACATACCACAAAATAAAATAAAATAAATAAATAAATAAATAAATAAATAAATAAATAAATAATTCTTTTCACTCTGCATTTTCATGTTAAATCATCTCTAGATAGATTATCATTTTCTTTTTTAAATTTATTTTTATTTTAAAACTATTACAGATGTCCCCCCCTTTTTTCCCACATTGACCCCCCACCTCCCTGCTTCTGCCTCCCTCCTGCCTTCTAAACACTATTGTCTGTGTC